TTTAGCCTACACTTGTCAACTATCAAAGCCAACAAGTGCACCAATCCTAAGCCAACAAGTGGATGAATCCCCCCACCCTCCACATGTCACAAGATCATGCTTACAAGTCTCTCCATCCCAATGCCAACAAGTGGCACCATAAGAATGTGACACTTGTCACATTTTTCAAAAATTGCAAAAAGGTCCTTTTTTCAAAATATCTTACAAATTAAATTACAAGATGGTCCCCAAGACTAAAAATAATTACTTTATGTAATTACACAAAAATTCCAAAATTTAAGAATATTTACAAAAAGGTATGCATCCATACCCTTTACAAAAAGTAAGCAACTAGAATGTATTGTCTGCAAAAGTAAAAATACAATAACCATGAAAATCAAATATTATGGATGTATGCAAAGCCGAAATCAAATCCGAACACAAAAAGTGAGGTTATGCAAGGAAAAACGATATACGGGAAAAAGACAAAACAGGAAAAAGGACCCAAAAAAAATCACCGAAAAAGGAAATGAAGGAAAATGACCAGGTCACTATATCTAAGCTATAAAAATAATTAAATTAAACACTTAGATTAAAAACCTAAATCACCCCCTACCTCACAAGAGGATTGTTTCTTTTAGAATCCAAAGCAAACAAAGGAATTTTTTAATTTCCTTCAAGGGTTATATAAAGGAATGTGAGGCAAGTGTTTTGTGTTCCAAGCTTTTAGGTCTAAGGTGAGTGAAAGGAGATCAAAACCAAGGTTTTAAACCTAGGTTAATGGTTTCCTTCAATGGTAGCTAGGGTTCTAAGTGAGAAAGAAGAAGTTTAATGTGTAAAATGAAATAATTAAAACACTTTAGTGTATTCCTCCACTCATTTTGTCAATGGAAGTCAAATACACTTAGTCTTGCACCATCTCCTCACACGCAAAAGCTAGACTTTAATTAGAAGATTACACTTTGTCATTAATCCAATGGTTTATTCTAGGCTTAATCTAAAGTCTACACTTGTCAACAATCCAAGCCAACAAGTTCACCAATGCTAGGCCAACAAGTGGGTAAATCTCCACCCTCCACATATCATCATCCAAGGCTTCCAAGTGTGAACCAATGAGATGCTTACAAGTGGCCCAATGAGAGTGCGACACTTGTCACACTTTTTCGGTAATTACAAAAAGGTCCTTTTTGAAAATATCTTTCGAAATAAATTACAAAAAGGTCCCTAAGAATTAAAATAATCTTTCTATAATTTTGAAAAAACCCTAAAAACAAATAAAGTTTCCGAAGAAACTATGCATCCATACCCTTTTACGTAAAAGTAAACAACTAGCATACTTTTCTAAAAATGTAAAAATACACAAAGCATGTAATTTAAATATCATGGATGCATGCAGAATCAGAACCAAATCCAAGCACAAAAAATGAGGTTATGCGAAGAAAATCATTCTCAGGAAAAAGACGAAAAATAAAAAGTGCCGAAAAAAGAAAATGTGAAAATAACACAGCCCTCACAAGGACGTTGTCAATCCAAAGGAAAGAGTCTCAAAAACTATTTCCGAGTACTCGAGACGACGCAAAGTGACAAAAACCCGAACTCGGAAAAGGAAAAAAAAAAAAAATTATCCATAAAATTTGAGAAAAAGAAAAGGAAGGAAAATGACTAGGTTATTATAATGTTAAATCTTATTTGAAAATTGGCTTCACATGACACTTGAATGGAAACATGCATACACAATTTTCAAATTAAAACTTGGCAAAAGTGCAAAAAAAAGGCCTGAGATTTTATCAAATGAGCACAACACTCCATGTGGTTTAAAAGTGAGTAAGTCAATCCCTATAGTTTCAAAAGTGAGCATCTTACCCCCCGCATTTCACCTACAACCACTTTTCGTCCATATTATTATACACATGATCGATACTTTTTTATTAATTTCGAAATTACCCTCCAATATAACCGTTATATCCCATTTTTCATTCTATTTTCTTTTTCCTTTTCTTAACTAAATTTGCTATCAAACATAATACATTCAATCCTACATATTCCAATAGTCCGTTGCTATATGCATTTTTTTTCACTTTGCATCAGACATGACAAAAGAAAATATTATTATTATTATTTTAGGAAATTATAAAGACAAAAGAAAGTAAAAGGCAAAGTTAATTACTATGAAAGCTATCAAAAAGAGGAAAAATAAAACTAAAATTAACTAATTAACCAAAAATAAGTAAAAAAAAATCAAGAAACCCATCACTAGTTTCACCCTCTCTGATAAATTAATTTGATCTATTATTATTATTATTAATATTATTATTATTATTTGGTACTTTGATCTATCTTCAACAGCAGAACATAAAATTTTCAAAGGAATAAACCTTCAAAAAAAGTTAAAACTTAAAATAAAACAACAAAAAGAAAGATGAATACTTTATTAAGTCAAGTTGCATTTACGAACCAAATGAGGAGTTACACACTTATTAGTCAATTTAGGGCCATGTAATGCAACAATTTACTATAGAGGGTTTTTAAAGTATTTTACTTTCTATGTATAATTATCTTTGTTAAAAAAATTAATTATACGGACAGTTTAATAAATACACAATGACATCGAGGGAAAGTGATTTGAGGTAAAATGTACATTCATTAACTTGCTGACTTTTTTATCATGTTGTGCTCATTTCGTGAAATTTTAAAGTATTATTTTTGCACTTTTGCCTTAAAACTTTATGTCAAATATTGTTTTCATGCGTGTGGCTGCGGAAAATTCCAAAAGCGTAAAAGCATTCCTGAGAGTAGCAAAGTGGTCTACTAATTAGACCACTCGGATACTAAAGTTCTGTCCTAATGGTCAATTAAAACAATTGATTAGACATTGTTTAGGTTTGCATCAATTCATGTCCAAGTAAGCAATGTAAATTACAAGAAGCCTGTAAAATTTTTTCCACACCTTTTGTTTGTATTGAAGACAAAATGTAACCACATTAAATGTTTGGAATTTGGTAGATGCAAAAGTCATAAAAGGTGGCTTGTGTAAGGGGTGTACAAAAATTCAGTCAAATTAAAATTTTAAATCAGATCAAATCAGACCAGACAATATGGTTTAGTTCAATCACAGTCTTAAATTTGTGAAACTATAAAGATATAATTTGATCACAATTTAAGGTCCTTTAAGACCAAATTAGACCAACCCGAACCGTTATATTATATATATATATATATATATATATATATATATATATATATGTTAAATTATAATGTATATATAATATAATATAATTATACAATCCAAATCATTTAGAAATTTGTAACAACTATCAATCATTAATTATCTTAGGTATTATCAATTTATTAGATACTTATTATTATTATTATTATTATTATTATTATTATTATTTTGTTTAAGTGACTGAATTGAATTGTGGCTGATTGTTTGTTGTTGAATTAATAATTCTAATTATATTAGGTTATTAGCAATTCTGAATTTATTTACTTCAGTTTCAGATGTGATAGAGAAGAATGAATTAAAAGTTCTATTGGTAACTTGGTTTATTATTGTATACGTGGATAATATGAATACTTCTGTAACAATAAAATAAAATAAAAAATAAAAAAAATAAAAAAAAGGGAACCGTGGAACAGAACGGAACCAAACCGGTTTTTCATGATTTGATTCGGTTTGATTCCTTTGGTCAAATGGTTTGGTTTGGTTCCAAAATTTATAAATCCGTTAGAATTGATTTGGTTCCAAAAAAAACTCTTAAACCAGTCCAAACCAAACCGTGTGCGCCCCTAATCACTGTGTGAGATTTTATTTTGAGGTTCTACTTCCTGAATAAACTATAATTTTATTTATTTTTATTTTTTATTTTTTTTTTGCAACGGAATCATTTTATGGAAGTTTCCTTATGCTGTAAAATTAGGAATTGAAATTATATAAGTTTCACCCGAGGATCTGTCACATTCAAAGTCTATGTTTGAACTATAATTTTTAAATTTGGAATCGGATAAAAAGGTTGTGGGTTTAAGTTCAGTTAAGTTCAGTGCAAAAGTAAGTTCATGAGTTCATTGCCACTGTAAAAGAAAAATAAAAATAAATATAAATATAAAGTTCACAATTTTTTCCCACTTATTTAATGGCCATATTTATTCATGATTGGCTAAATCCAATCATTTAATCAAGTAGATTTAGTTTATTAAATTGTGCTGGAATATTTACCTTAATGTGCAAACTTGAGTAGAAACATTGCATGGTTTTGCAAAAATAGTACTGCTATTTGTTCTTTTGCAAAAAGTCAAGTAAAACATCAGTTTCTAATGGAGTTTTCGAACTTTGCAACTCTCCTTTAGATCACACCATCTAAATTAATTTTCATTCATTATTCTATTTTCAAAAGATTAAATCATTGAAGGACTAGTTGGTTTTTTTTTTAAAATAAAAAAAAAAAAATACATGCCTTGCATGCATTTAGTACGGGCAGAAACAGCAATTCATGGACCACATTCTGAGGTTTGTTCTTTTAGTTAAAAAAAAAAAAAAATGAATGTATTTTAATTGTAACTTCTTGTTTTCTCTTCTATATATTTTTCTTTCACATATCAATTTTTTGTCCATTTATTTAGGGTGCATTTTTCTCATCTTTGGATAATGTACTATGACTAGTATTAAAATATATATATATATATATTATATTATAAGTGGTTCAAAAAATTCGAGATTTAAATTACATAGCACAAGTTCCGTCCCTCCAAATTAAAATTTCTAGATCCCCTGCTTGAGAGGAGAAAAACTTGGTTGCAGTGCCGTTTATTGCTGCGCGTTGCAATGGGTGCAATAAAAATTTTCTGGCTTGAGAGAATCTCGAGATGTGTGTCCAGCAGTCCCGTGAACCACCGAGCATATTTTCCACCACAGATGACAAGGATGGTCTAAAGATAGCAGATGGGTTGGTGCATAAAAGAGACAAGTTTAATATCCTCATGGCCACTTTTTTTGAGTAGTTTGAAGGCTGAACCAAGTCTCAAATCCACAAGTTTTAGAAAACTTTTGAAAATAGCACCGTTTTGGTGCACAGGTTGACCAGAGATATATTTTACAAAGGAATCTAGATAGAGTTTAGATTAATATAATTTGAAATTGCTATAGTTATTACATCACATGTTCATTAATCAGTCTAAATTTATATCATAAAGATCTGAGAAAAGTTTGCTTGACGAACTGTGCTCCGCATCCTCATTCTTACTTTTAATAGAATTCGAGGAAGCAATCCACGACCCATCAATTGACATGCTCCCCCGCATCTGACTGTCCTGAGAGAATGTCGAGACCGGTGTCTGGGTGTCCTGTGATCGCTTCTCAAAGGCTTTAAACCTCAGGTCCTCATTCAAGGAACTGCACTTGACTATTGGCGCTTGGACTGGGCTATTGCCCTCGAGCATACTCACCACAGAAGACATGGATGGCCTGAGGGTGGGAGATAGGTTGGCGCATAGAAGAGACAAGTTTAACATCCTCATTGCCTCTTCTTTTGAGTAGTTTGAACCAATTCTCGGATCCACTAGTTCTAAAAGGTTTCCCTGCTCTTGTAAAACATAAGCCTGCAAATTCCATGCGGAGAGAACATTAACTTTCGTTATCTTATGTACTTTTCCAAACGTACGAAATTAAAGAAATATATAAAAAGGCTAATACAAGAGCATTCTCATGACTCAAAATGAAACCATGTCTCCTTTAGAATTTCATCACAAAGATTTGAACGCGTGTTGACCTCCTCTCAAAATATATTCACGTTACTGAGACCAACAAACTCAATCACTTGTGGTGCAATGCATTTGAGTCGAGTTTAATGAAAATCTAATGTACTTTCTAACTGAGTAACTCTAAAAGAGTTATTTGTCAAGAGGTGCATGAGTTGTTGTAAGTACCTAGTACTCGGGGGGTTCAAAATCATAATAAAGTAACAAATGGTGAGGTATAACTTGCAATATAGTAGAATCCGAGATGGATTGAGAGAGGTGGAAGCCCAGGCAAACTCGAGAGAAACAGAAAGAGGAAGGCAGTATACAAAAACACCATTGACTCCTTGGTGAAGGTCTGAAAATATGGATCTGAGAGAGAGCCTAAAGCTCTCAAATCTGGAGGTCATTTTCTTCCCCTTTTGTCTACCTCTTTTCTTAGCCTTAGGTCATTTCTTTTTATAGGCCAAGTGAGAGTGGGTGATGTCATCAATGACACGTGGGTCCATTAACAAAATAATTAAAAGAGATTAATTTCTCAAATAATTATATAGCAATATTAATTAAGATGGGGTTAAATGCTCGGGAGTCAAAATGGTATTTCTCTCTCTATAAGTTAGGTCGAGTGTCGACTCGACGAGCCCTGGACTTCAACCATCAAACCAAAACCTTCTTAGATCCTAGGTAATCCTGAGTCCTGCTCCCAGCTTAGGTCTTTGCTCTTCTGTTCGAAGTATATTGATGTCGTGGTAACTTTGACTGTTGACCAGGTTATGTGAGCCATCGCTGCTGATGTAGCGTAGCTAGTTGACCGTTTGACCAAGCTGTGTGGGCCACTGTTGATGGTGTGGCATTTGCCATGTAGACTTAGGGTTATGACACCCACATTTAGTCCCCCTGCACGAGTGAGCTTCGTAAAAAGTAAAAGGTTAGTCGGGCATAAAATGATGTTTTGTAATTGTATAAGCAAGAGAGAAATCTTTTGAGATTCCTAAAAGAAAAAAAATTTATGAGAAAAATTTTAAGCAGCGAGGTGTCCCTGGATGAGTTATCTCAGAAAGGGTCATCTCGTGGAGGTCTCTCAACAAAAATCTAGCGACGAGATATCATGTGGAACTCGAGGTAATAGCTTGTTGATGTAGGACTCGAGGCTAAGAGCTCGTCGAGGATGGACTCGAGGCGAATACCTCGTTGAGGTAGGACTCAAGGCTAAGAGCTCGTTGAGGTAGGACTCAAGGCTAAAAGCTTGTCGAGATGGTGAGATATCTCGTGGAAGTTTTGGGGAGGAAACCTACACAACGAGAAATCCCTAGGTGGAATAACTTTAAAGGAGGTAGATCATGGGTAAGTATTTTGGGTCGCTCGATGGTCTAGGATTGTTTAAAGTCTAAGGCTCTAGGTTGCTCGATGGGAGTTAGATCTAGGAGGAGTCCTTCGATCGACTAGTGACTCAATTCAGGATTGAGTCACTTGATGATTTCAAGTAGTGAAGTCTGGTCAATGTTTTAGGTCACTTGATTGACTGTTATGATAGTTCGTTCGAGGCTCTAGGTCGCTCAATGATTTCAAATTTAATTTTGCATCGAGGTTATGGACCACTTGTTGATGATATATCACTATGATGTGGACCATGAATATACAGGCACCTACAGCAGGGTAATGCCCCTACATGGATAAGCTTCATAGAAAGTAAAAGGTTAGTCGTGCATAAAATGATGTTATGGGATTTCGTACGCAAAAAGTCCCCCAGGTTAATGTGAGTCAAATCGATGGTGTCCTTTGATCGACTAGCAACTTGGTTCCACTTTAGGTAAGTTGTGAGTCGGATCGAGGGTGTGTCCTTCGTTTGACTAGCGTAAGGTTGATGGGGTCGAATCAAGGTTGTGTCCTATAATCGACCGGCACAAGTTCAACTAGCGTAAGGCCGACGGGCGAATCGAGGTTGTGTACTATGATCGACTAATGACAATTCGACTGGGTCAGTCGATGTGAGAGGGGTTGAGGGTGAGTCTGACCGACTATCGATGTGTTTTGATGCAGGAGGAGCGACCAGTTTCTTATGGGTCTCATAAACTTAAGCCTCATGAGCTTAACTATCTAACGTACGATTTGGAATTAGCAGCTGTGGTCTTTGCCTTACGCATTTGGAGACATTATTTGTTGGGAGAGTCCTTCAGACTATTTAGTGACCACAAGAGTTTGTAGTATCTCTTCACGCAGAGGGAGCTAAATATGAGACAGCGTAGGTGGTTGGAGTTTGTGAAAGATTACCATTTCTCTATACAATACCACCCAGGGAAAGTGAAAGTAGTAGCAGATGCACTCAACCGCCGACCTTGTGCTAGTCTCTCTATGATGTTCGCTACAGAATGGACTACTTTGAAGACTATAGATGAGTTGTTTGATGCTTTTGTGGCATGCATAGTAATTACACCTACTATCATCCACAAAATAATTAAGGCAGAACTTATGGATCAGTAGTGCATCGATAGAGTTGCGAAGTTAGCTTCTGGTGATGTTCCATTTTACTCTGTTGGGACAAATGGAGGCTTGAGGTACAAGGGACTCTTGGTAATACCTTCTGCTGATGATTTGAGAAAGGATGTGATGTCTAAAGTTCATAAATCTGAGTTCTCTATCCATCCAGGTGGAGATAAGATGTATCAAGACATGAAGCTACAGTTTTGGTGGGTAGGCATGAAGAGGGACATAGTTATTTTTGTCTCCAAGTGTAGTACGTGTCAGATGGTCAAGATTGATCATCAGAGACCGCCAGGTTCCTTACAGCCACTTCTTATACCGAAGTGGAAATGAGAGAGTATTTCTAAGGATTTTGTGGAAAGATTGCCAAATTCTAATAAAAGTCACAATTCCATTTGGGTCATTGTTGATAAATTGACCAAATCAGCTCATTTTTTGCCTATTCGCACTGATTTCACTTCGAAACAGTTGGTAAGACTTTATATTTAAGATATTGTGAAGTTACATGGCAAACCATTGTTCATTATCTCGGATAGAGATTCGAGCTTTATATCTGGATTTTGGGAGAGCTTTCAGCAATCGACTGTCAGGTCGATGGGTTTTGATTTTTGATTTTTGATTTTTTAAGTTCTAAAAGCATGATTAGGCATTAGCTTTTCTAAGCATCAGTGAATGTTAGAAAACAAAAGTATTACACAAGAAATCAAAGTGGGAATAGAGGGACGTGAGATCTGTTTTATCACAGTAAGCCCTAAACTGTGAGTTAGCAACATATGGCGGCATATAGAAAACAATGCATCAGTAGAAAGAAATGCAAAGAAGTAAACAGAGATGAGTTTTAGAACAAATTCACCTATATAAGGCAGTAAGTTCGCATAGAGAGCTCCTTAAGTTTGCATAGAGAGCTCTTCCATTTTCCACACCAATGAATGCTCAATTGTGGTATAGATCGACAAAGGCTTCTGAGTTCTTCCATATCCACAAAGGACTCTTCCCATGATCACAAGAACACCTCCCCATTGGAGTCGCCAAATGTAAGTACCTAATACTCGGGGGGTTCAAAATCATAACAAAATAACAAATGGTGAGGTATAACTTATAGCAGAGTACAATCCGAGATGGATTGAGAGAGGTAGAAGCCCAGGCAAACTCGAGAGAAAGACAGAAAGAGAATGGCAGTGTACAAAAACACCATTGACTCCTTGGTGAAGGTCTGAAAATATGGATCTAAGAGAGAGCTTAAAGCTCTCAAATCTGGAGGTCATTTTCTTCCCCTTTTGTCTACCTCTTTTCTTGGCCTTGGGTCATTTCCTTTTATAGGCCAAGTGAGAGACGAGAGTGGGTGATGTCATCAGTGACATCATGTGTGGGTTCATTAACAAAATAATTAAAAGAGATTAATTTCTCAAATAATTATAAAGCAATGTTAATTAAGATGGAGTTAAATGCTCGGGAGTCAAAATGGTATTTCTCTCTTTATAAGTCAGGTCGAGTGTCGACTCGACAAGCCTTGAACTTCAGCCACCAAACCAAAACCTTCTCAGATCCTAGGTAATCCTGAGTCCTGCTCCCAACTCTGGTCTTTGCTCTTCTTACGAAGTATACTAATGTCGTGGTAACTTTAACTGTTGACCAAGTTATGTGGGGCCATCGCTGCTGTGTGGCGTAACTAGTTAGCCATTTGACCAAACTGTATGGGTCATTGTTGATGGTGTGACATTTGCCATGTGGACTTGGGGGTATGACACCCACAGTTGTATGCGGGATCAAGTCTCTATATGGGCAAAGTAGTGAGTTATATTTGTCAAGAGAAAATCTCTCCCTTTTTTTTTTTTTTACCTTGCAATGGTTAGTGAGTTAGTTAGTTAGTAGGGGATAGGGAAAGAGGATTCGAACCTAAGACCATAGGGTAGGGGGTACTTAATGCCTGGCCCTTTTCCCACTCGGGCAACACCGCCACACCTAGAAAATCTCTCTCTCACACACGCATATGTAAGATAACGAGCATTTTCATCATAAAGCTACCCAAAATCAAGGCATATCTAATTTTCTTTTCAAAACAAATATATTTTTCTTTTTGGTGTTCTCATAACAAATATTTAAAAACACATTGACAACCTATCAAACATATTCACATCACTCACTCTAACAAAAGGAAGTTACTTGTAGGCAATGTATCTGAAGTTAGTATACTACTCTCATTGAATAAGAATTCGATTAATTATCAATTTCCTTTTTTATTTCCTTCTCTTTTCATTTCTAACCCAAAAGTAGAAAAAGGATCTACCTGACATCATTCAAGAAACAATGTCATTTAGAGATCTTATGTGAGATTGAACGGTTTGCAAAAGTTTTTCCACTGAATTAAATTTAAAGGTTGGATTCAGGCATATTTACAAAAATAAAATAAAAGAATAATTATATTTCAGGCCTTTTCAAAGTGCATTTGAAGTCATGTAAAAATAGTATAAACAAGTGCAAGCTCTAGAAGTGTGAACAAAAGACCATCTAAAGAGGATAAAACTCAAAAAAGAAAACGTTACCCAATCAAGAAGGTAAACAGACTCTTCCCTTGGCCTGTAACTTGTATTGCTTTTTCCACTGACAATCTCCAACAAAACAACTCCAAAGTTGTAAATATCTGCCTTGTCTGTCAAATAACCCCTCATTGCATATTCAGGAGCCATGTATCCTCTGAAATTTATAATAATAATAATAATAATAATAAAACAGATTGAATACTTGTGAGCTCATAACTCTTCTTATGAGGGAACTCTCTTGATACTTGCAATGAATTGAAAAATGTATTAGTGAAATGATAAATTTGAATTTTCACAAATCTCAAAAAAATTGTCTCAATTTAGTGGTTAAGTATGGAGAGCTCGTGATTCTTCTTACAAGGGAGATCTCCTGAGAGCATTACTCATTTTGCAATTCATAAGGTATAATTTGTAATCTATTATAATATTAGGTATTTTACTAAAGGGCAATATGGTCATTTCATTGCAATAGCAATTACATATATATACACATACATGAGAGGAGAAGGGCTAGACTCTTACTCACAAAATTCCCAATACTTGTGTTTTCTTATCCTGGAAACCCTAAATTCAATATGGTATCAAAGCAAGGACGCGATCAATCCCGCTAGCGTGTAAGATTGAAAGCATTTGTGTTGTGAATCTAATCATTGTCACAATCATCACTGGTAGTCGTCATTATCGCCAACATCGTCATCATCACAGCCCATCGTCGCCGTCGTTCAAGTTGCCGCTAGTATCATCATCATCGTCACCTCAATCAGTCATTGTTTTCATCCTTCTTCAGTCGTTGCTGCCATTGTTGCTTGTCATCAGAGGTTGTTGTCCTTGTTGCTTGTTATCAGAGTTATATATATATATATATTTATATATATTTTTCTGGTTTGTATCATCGTGAGGGAGAAAAGGTGTGTTTGGTTGTGGAAGTTTGTTGTCCCAGGTCTGTATATTGAATCCGACCCAAGTGTAGCATCTAGATTCGACCCAGTTTGATCCAACTAATGTAATTGGGCTAACCCAAGTGGAAGAACTATTTTTTTTTTTCAGACACGTTTTGATCTGTTGCAGCAGCCCCTCTTTAAAAAATTTCTTTTTCTTAACTGACACCAGTTCAAGTCCAAGATATTCAGTTCTCATTCCCTTGGCTTAATACGGTATGGCATCCAATGTAGATTTATTTTCTTTTACTAATTCCTTCATTTCTCCCATGACTTCCATTAAGCTTAATGTAAAGAATTATATTTTATGGGCCAAATCTGTTGCCATCTTTCTTAAGGGCAAAGGTCTTGGCAACCATTTGGTTGGAGATAAACCGAAAGAATCTTATTCTTCCTTCAGTGCATGGGAAAAAGAGGATGCTCAGATCATCTCGTTGATGTTATCTAGTATTGAACCCCAAATCAGCTCCAGATTGCTTTACTTAGATACTGCCAAGGAAATCTGGGAGCGGTTGCAACAATTATATTCTGGGACAGGTAATGTTACTCATGTATATGAGTTGTGTAATGAGTACTTCAGTCTTTTTTTTTTTGTGATAAGTAATAATGAAATAAAAAGCCCTTCTAAAGGGGAACGCGTCCCTAATACAATAGAGGAACCGAAGCTAAGGCCCCAACGAATCCAAGAAAATAATTAAATCATCAGAAGAGGAGCAAGAACTCCTCTTAACGTAATTGAAGAGAGAACGAAGAATATAAAGTTTCAGCGTTGCCGTAGACGACTCCTTCCTTTCAAACATTATACAATTTCTCTCCTTCCAGATGCACCACCATACATAATGTGGGACAATTCTCCAGAAATCACGTACATCCCTTCTCACACGACATCCTCTCCAAACATGAATCAAATCCTTAGTAGATCGTGGCATTACCCAACACATGCTGAATAACCTAAGTATAAGATTCCAACAGTCATGCGAGAAGATACTAAATGATAGTAACTAGAAGGAAAGCGAGGGATGAGAATGAGAAGACGAGATAAGGCGAGAAGAAAGTGATGAGAGGACAAACAAAGGGGGTGAGAAATTAGACTGAATGAGGTAGGATAAATAGACAGAGGGATTAAGAACAACAAAAACAAGGAGGGAGAAAGGACACAAAGGGAGTTCACAAACTCAACGATAATATTCAATATTCCAAAAACTGATTTGTCTAATTACGTTTAAGCCCTTTATATAGGCAAAACATAAACAAACCCTAAAATAATAAAGTACTGAAATACCCCTAAAATTAAAACATTATTAAAAATAACCATAAGCATAAATAAAAATCCTAATTTACTAATATCCCTAATTCTATCTTTCTTTTCCACTTCTCCAATGATAAGTGTGGGTCATATGTGGTTTTGGCTCTTCAGTTGCACCTTGGTCTCCATCAACTCTCCTCCACTTAGAAGAACTCTTCTCCGAAGAGTTAGAACAAAAGTACCAACCCCAAAGAATGCATCCAGTAACGAGTTTAGAATTGCTTGGCTCACTAAGGGCAACATGATTAAGTGCTTTCTCTTCAATCAAATCAAAGCTGAATTCAATTCCACGTTCTGCAACTTTATTCCCAACAACAAAATCTATAGGATGAAAATCTGTAACAAAAGATAAAGCTGTCGGAGAAGACAACTCTATCACAATTTCTTCATATATTGCAAGAAATGATAATTATGTAATCTTCTGTTCAACTTCTTCATTTAAAGACGATAAATGAACATGGCTCTCAAGAGAGGAAAAATCAGTCACTTTTTACTCAGTTTCTTCATTTGAAAACTCAGTAGGCGTTTTCTGCTCAATTTCTTTGTTTGAAAACTCACCAGGCGTTTTGTTGTCATCAACCAATATTGTAATCAATTCATTTCCAATATAAATTTCTTCCCTTGAAGAGGTGTTACTCAACTCACATTACTCAACAACTTCTACTAATTCTGAAAGCTCATTAGCTATTTCCTTCAATTGGGAACCATAACCCACACGCAATTGGTCCACATATTCCTTTAAATGAACCACGCTCCTGCCAATTATGTCAAATCTTTGTTGTCTTTTGAAACTTTTGTTCTAATACAGAGTAGGAGTGGTAAGAATGATATGCACCATATGACTGGTAGGAACAGTAAGAATCATATGCATTATATGGCTAATAGGAACGATAAAGAGCATTTGAAGGGAGAGAAGTATATGATTTGGATCAATTATAGGAACGAGGAGGAGCATGTGAAGGGTGGGAAGTATATGATTTGCAGGAATCATGTGAATCATATGAAGCATAATGAGGATAAGACGAACAACCTTTGGGTTGAGTCTTACGAAACACACACACACACACACACACACACACATATATATATATATATTTTCTTCAATGACTTGTCAAAACTGGGCTCTGGTCTTGCTAAGAAGCTGGGTTGGGCTTGTAACTGATCCAAACAGGGCCGAACTGATTTAAATAGATGAGTTATGATCTGTTTCTGGTTTTAAATAATAGCTGGACTGAACTTGGGCTGGGCCAAGAAAATATAATACGGTCTTTATCCAAATCTGGGTTGTTGCTCTTCTCTTTTTCTTTTTTAGTGACCTGGCTTGGCTCTTCTGATCTGGGCCGAGTCTGAACTGGGTCAAAACTGATCTTAATGATGTGGTGGATCGGATCATGAATGTGATTCTTGGTCACTTCTGAATTGGGCTTGATAAAAACTTAACTGGGCCCAAACAAATAATCTAGTCTGCTCTTCTTCTTCTTCTTTTTTAGTAGTCTGGGCTTGTGCTGTCTGTAAAGCTATATAACCCAACAGAATTGAAGTAAAGTTGGACTAAACTTCAGTTGGAGCGGCTGAATTTGGATCAAGTTGAAACTTCCTGGGCTGGGTTAAGTCTGACTTTAATTTAAATTTGATTTTGGTCAAATCTGGTTTATAAGGGAAACAAAATATATGCTTTCCAAACCAACTTTGATTTCCCAAAATCAATCACTGAACTCTAGGCTGAGATATTGAAAATATCAAAATTTGACTTACCAAAAACAAACTCTGAATTCTCGGCTGAAGTTACAACACGAGATGGCAGAGATGATCAGAAAATTCTTGGCGATGATGAGGCAATGAAATCGACGACAAACTCTGGTGAAGACTGTTCGACGACGGACTGATGTCAAGATGTGACAGTCGTTGATGAGAAAGCTAACAATGATGCACGATAGACGAAGACAGACTGACGGCAAAGGATATTGGCGACAAGAGAGAACTCGACAATGATGATCTGTGATTTTTCACTATGAATAAACTTAATCATTTTGCTCTGATACCAATTGACGTAGGACATGTAGTCTCTAATGCTGCGTTTGGTGTGCAGGAATGGAATGGAATGCAAGTGGGAATGGAATGGAATGCAAGGGAATGGAATGAGAATGGGAATGGAATGGAATGACCATTCTCATTCTATTGTTTGGTTGTAAATATGAAATGTGTATGAATGGAATGATAATAACCATTCTAGTGATTGGTTGGACTAATTTAAAATTTAGAATGGAATAAATTTTAAATTGAGTTCTCCAAAATATCCCTCTTACTGACAAATAAATTAAATTAATAAAATGACATTCTTCTATAATTTTTTAAAAATAAATAGTGGCAGTGGCGATTGTGGATGGTGCCTAGTGGTGACGATGGTGGTGGAGATGGAAAGCTGTAATGGTGTAGGTGGTGGTGGTGGAAGGAGATAACGGTGTAGGTGGTAGTGGTGGTAGCCAATGGAGGTGACTGTGGTGGTGATGGAAGGCACTAGAGGTGGCGATGGTGGTAGAAGGTGGTGGCGGTGGAGGCGGCGGCGGCTGTGGTGGTGGTTGAAGGTGGTGAAAGGCGGTGGCGGTGGAAGGTGGTGGCGGTGGTGCTAGTGGAAGGTGGTTAAAGGTGGTTAAAGGTGGTGGAAGGCGGTGAGGGTGGAAGGTGGTTGCGGTGGTGGAAGGCGATTACAGTGGTGGTGGTGAAAGGTGGTGGCAGTAGTAAGGCGGCGGCGATGGTGGTGGTGGTGGTGAAAGGCAATAGCGGTAGTGGCGGTGGTGGTGGTGGAAGGCGGTGGTGAAAGGCGGTGGTGGTGGCGGCGGCGGTGGAAGACGATGGCGGTAGTGGTGGTAGTTGAAGGTAATGGCGGTGGTGACGATGGAAGGTGGTGGCGGTGGAAGGCGTTAGTGGTGGTGAAAAGCGGTGATGGCGACGATGGTGGTAGAAGGTGGTGAAGGTGGAGAAAGGTTGTGGCGGTGGTGGAAGGTAGCGATGGTGAAAGGCTACGGTGGCGGCGGTGGTGGAAGGTGGTGGTTATGGTGAAAGGCAGTGGCGGTGGTGAAAGGCGATGGAGGTAGCGGTGGTGGTGGTGGTCACGGCAAAGGAAGGCGGTGGCCGTGGTGGTGGTGGAAAGCGGTAGGCGATGGGCGGTGGTGAAAGTCGGTGGTGGTGAAAGTCGGTGGCGGTGGCAGTGGTGGTGGTGGTGAAAGGCAAATGTGGTTGTGGTGGAAGGTAGTGGTGGTTTTTAGACTTGGAACATGAGAGTGTTTTGGGAAGTTAGTTTTTTAAAAAAATTAACTTGGGAATGGAATGACCATTCTATAGGTTTAGTTGTGGAATGGATTTTCATTCTCAAGAATGGATTTTCATTCCAATGGAATGATCATTCCCACTTTAAATTGCATACCAAACAAAGGAATGGTTTGAATTGACATTCCATTCCATTCCTGCACACCAAACGCAGTATAATAGTATTTAAATACTAAATGATAGTAACCAGAAGGAAAGCAACGGATGAGAATGAAAAGATGAGATAAGGCGAGAACAAAGTAATGAGAGGAGACGAAGGGGGTGAGAAATCAGATTGAAAGAGGTAGGATAGATAGATGGAGGGGTTAAGAACAGCAAGAACAAGGAGGGAGAAGGACACAAAGGGAGTTCGCAAACCCAACGATAATATTCAATATTCCAAAAACTGATTTGTCTGATTACATATGAGCCCTTTATATAGGCAAAACATAAACAAACCCTAAAACAATAAAGTACTGAAATACCCCTAAAATTAAAACATTATTAAAAGGGTCGTGATAGATAGACCGATGGTTTTGGCCGATTGGTTTGGCAGAATAGACGTGGTAGTCCATGTAAGCAACTTTCTTTTTCATTTTTTCGATAAAGCGGGTAAGGCTGACAAACAACTAAAAAAGGAAAAGAAAAGGGATTTTGCTGGACTAACTTGTGGGCTTGATTTGCTTAAAGAGGTGCAGAGATTTTGCTGTGTTAAACTGCCATTAGATTTTTTTCTTTTCCAATCTTGATATTTCAGATCGCCGTGCGTCGGCGAGCTTGGGTTGCGATTCAAAAAAAATTTGCAGAGATCAGCTATCGCTGTTTGCCACCGACGGAGCCATCACTTGTTATTGGTTGTTTTTTGTTTGGGGCTTCGCTGTTTAATGGCCTCGGTTCTTCATTGTTCTCATCTTTGTTGTCATTCGGATCGCCTCAACAATCTTCTCTCGGAACAGAGTTGTTTGCGCCGAGAGGAACAAAGTCGATTGCCAGTTTTTTTTCACCGACGACTTTCAATTTCCTATCGCTAAGAAGTCTGCAGAGACTAATAGTGCTGTTTATCCCATCGAAGACCACCGACGACCCCTCTGCTGCTGTCGCCAGTTGTGTACTTGCCGTTTGTGACTATTTTTGTGATCTGTGTCTTTGTTTGGGGCTGATTGCTTGGTCCTTTTGCCATCGATTGGTTCTTCTCTATTGGCAAGAGAGAGTTGCAGAGGCTACCATGTCCTTGTCGTAGGTGAGCAGCAGTTTGGTGACTGAAATTGTGAAGAAGATGAAGAGTGTTTGGCTACACACGCATTCTTTTTGCCAGCTAGATGACACCTTGAATTTTGCCTAGGAAATCGGCCAAACCCATCAGCATAAATATCATTTTCCTTATTAAAAGTAACCATAAGCATAACCCTAATTTACTAATATCCCTAATTCTATCTTTCTTTTCTGCTTCTCCAATGATAAGTGTGGGTCATATGTGGTTTTCGCTCTTCAATTACACCTGTTCTCCATCACTGTTCTTCGGATTATTCGATTTCTCAAGCAAGCTCCGGGTCTTGGGTTGTTGTATAGATCAAATGGACACCTTAGAGTGGAAGGTTTTACAGATGCTGATTGGGCTGGTTCTCCCTCAGATAGGAGATCCACTACAGGTTATTGTACTTTCGTAGGAGGTAATCTAGTTGCATGGAAAAGGAAGAAGCAAACAATCGTAGCGTGATCTAGTGCTGAAGCCGAATATAGGGCAATGGCCCATACTTCTAGTGAGTTAACATGGTTACAACATTTCCTTGAAGAACTTGGCTTAACAGTCAAAACTCCTCTTCCATTATTTTGTGATAACCAAGCAACTCTTCGTATTGCATCCAATCCAGTGTTTCATGAGAGAACCAAGTACATTGAAGTTGACTTTCATTTTATTCGAGATAAGATATTGAGTGGGAATATCTCAACCCCATTTGTGATATGTGAAGATCAACTCGCTGATATGTTTACTAAGGCTTTGAGTAATAATAGGTTGAGGTTTATTTGTTCCAAGCTGGGACTATATAATATATACTCACCAGCTTGAGGGGTAGTGTTGGGATATTAGGTATTTTACTAAAGGGCAATATAGTTATTTCATTGTAATAGCAATTGTATATATACACATACGTGAGACGAGAAGGGTTGGACTCTTACTCACAAAATTCCCAATGGGCGCGGGTAGACCCATGCATAGTTTTCATTTATAACAGCATCGCCATCCTCGGCTAACTGTGTTTTCTTATTTTGGAAACCCTAAATTCAATATAATCCATTACAAGTAAATACAGAACAAATCTAGTTATATATAACGATCCACTGTGATCTCTTCAACTATTCAAGAGAAACTCCATTTTCAATAAAACCCTTTTGGTGGGTTCAGAGAAAAGGGTCTCTAATTTTGGAAATAGCATTACAGAAACAAGAGCAGACAATATAGTCAACTACAAAACCACTACTGGTCTAACATAGAACTGGTGCCTCTTTCAGAAATCAGATATGGATAGGTGATGGTTAACTACTTGTTAACTAAGTTCTATTGATATCATACACCTTCCAACAACACTTTATTTGTTTTTTAACATCAAGTTATTACTTTTATTTCTTTTTTGACACCAAGTTATTACCATTATATCCAAAGATTAGATGCAAATAACAATATTGAAGGTGGAAAAGTGTGAGAAAAACTCACATTGTTCCAGCAATTCTGGTGCTGATATGTGTGTTCTCTTCTTCATCAAGCTTGGCCAAACCAAAGTCAGATATCTTAGCATTTAGATCCTTATCAAGCAGCACATTGGTAGCCTTAATGTCTCTATGAACGATTTTCAACCTTGATTCCTCGTGAAGATAAGCTAAGCCCCTTGCTATTCCTAAGCATATCTTCTTTCTTGCTGGCCAATTCAGGTTTAGCTGGTGTTCTTCGCTTCCTAGAAGAAAGAGAGAGAGAGTTATGTCATAATAGTCACTCTAATAACATATATACAATAGTGTCAAAGGTAATATGAAAGTAACTACCAAAAAGTGCACGGGCAAGATTATTGTTCTCCAAGTATTCATATATCAGCAACAACTGGTTTCCTTCAATGCAACAGCCATAAAGCCTCACGAGGTTTGGGTGCTGTAGGGCAGATATCATGCCTATCTCATTGATAAACTCACGATTTCCTTGCTTAGATTTGGAGGAAAGCTGCTTAACAGCGATTACTGCACCATCTGACAATACACCCTAAAATCAAGCAAAAAGAATTTCAAATGATTAAAGATAACAAACAAGATATATGGCGGTCATATGACTCATCTGAAAAAAATTCTTCTTCACATTGCTGCCTCTAGGCATGGACTTAAATTGACACATGACCTCAATGTTGCAAGATAGTTATGGAAATTTGATAAGTTGTGTAAGCAATAACCTTGTAAACTGGTCCAAATCCTCCTTCACCAATCTTGTTTGCAGGGTCAAAGTTCCTGGTAGCAGCTTTGATCTGTCTTAAAGTGAAATAACCTGTTTGCAGATCTAGCCCTCGAAGTTCTGCAACAAAGACCCAAAATAGAAATTAGAAAATCATTGTAATGCAAAAAACAGTTGAAAAATAACAGTTCATCGTTCTTTTCCAATTTCCCTCCAACCATAAGGTTACAATACTGCATAAATCATGATATGTTAGAGCCACGAATTCTTACCTTATATGATCATCAGTAGATAGCTTTTCATGAAGTAAAGTTCACATACATATGGTTATTTTCTTTATCACAATTTAAATAGTTACAATTACAAGTGCAAGTAAAAATTGGGCTAATGTTTACCATGCATAAAGGTTCTTGCTCATCACAGCATCTATTTTATAAACAACAAAATTATTTTTATGCATAGTTTTACTAATTTAAACTGACGTTTGTAATAACTCTCATATAAGATCTACACGAGCGTTACAGATTTTCTCGAGTAATATAAACATTCCAACCCATATTAAATTTATGTCAAAACACCCAAAGGGAGGACTGGTGTTTCAGTAATTCCATAAAGCTAGCTAATCTTGAACACAGGTTCTAACTTACACATGGTAAAAGAAAAAATTTGTGTTTTTAGATCTCACCTGTATCTTCAAGGTCTTTCCCTCCTAAATAACCTTTAATTCGAAGTAGTAACAAAATCAACACAAGGACCACGCATGAAGCAGCCACGATACCAACAATAGCTCCAACAGAAAGTCCCGTATCAGGATCGAAGTCTACAAGAAGAGAAAGATACTCTCGTTACAAGTTACTAGAAAAAAAAAAAGAGCCACACCCAGAATGAAAGATACACATACGTACTTGGTGTCACTGAAATAGCAGATATAAGAGGTCCATATACACCTCTCCCAGGAATTGCATTAGTCCCTTTCCCAGACCAGTATAAGTGGATCTCCAGAGTGCTGCCACTAACATTTACATCATGCACCTTAGTGATGTTTTTGCCAGGACCTTCAGCTTCCTCCATAATGTTAAAATCCTTCAAAAGAGGTTTCCCCTGCAGAAGAAGTTAAGTTAACACAAGCCCACACAAAAGTTAAATAACTTCTATTTCAGAGACAAGAAATCAGTAGCAAATTAAGAAAAGAGAGAGCCCTGAAACCAAAATATTAACAAAGTCAAGAATAGCATTACAGCAGTGCTGCTTGTGCATTAATATGTTAATACAGGTAAGCTGGCTCTTACTCACTTGAATTGATACATCAAAAATCCTCTTCCCGAGGCTACTAAATGTCTGGTCATCTGAAAACATTATTTCAGCAAAGTGGAGATGCACTTTGTAACTGCCTTTACGTAAACAAAGGCCGTAGTACTTGAGTGAAGTAGGGGCAAGGCGCGCTGTTCCATATATCTCATTCTCATCAATCAATTTAAAAGAGGATGAGTTTTTTGCTATGTAATCCTTTTTTTCGTTGCCCACGAAAACCCCTGTACTGCTATAAGCCCATTTTTTTTCTGGAGAAACAAAATAGTATGATGGACCATCCATGGCTGAGTCTTCTTCATATTCGTTCCCATCAAATGTTGTTTTGCTTCCTCCACAATTGATAAACAAGGAATAGTCTGCATATGCAATGGAAATTATAATATAAGATTTTCTTTTCTTTTCGGTTAGTATAATATAATATACTTCTATTGATATCTATAGGTAGATATAACTTATCAAAAAAAATATATATCTATAGGTAGATATAAGTAATTATCACCAGATCATAGTAACAGACCTGGCAGTTTTTAAACTTACACTGGCGATTGTTTGAGCAAGGAAGGTCCTTCTTCAAGCACCAAGCATTTCTGTAAGACTTTCAGGTTAGGTCAACCATATAATTACTTCTAATGGTATTTAAATAAGTAATTTAAATTTCTGTCTTAGAAAGTAAAGATCTTACGAGTTGCTCTCCATATTTGAGGGGTTGCTGGAAGCTAAATTACTGTTGACCAATATGGAAGGGGTAATTTGTAAATTACATAAAAGAATCGAATTGATATAGAACAAATAATGGAAAGAAGCTCACGCTTTTGGTAACTGATTACAAACGAAATCAGTTGGTGGTTCTGTGAAGTTGTTGTAAGATACATCACTGCAACAGAAATGGCATGACATGCATGAATTTTTCAATTGAATATAATTCTTATTGTCTTATATACTATGTTAACACGGACTCCTCAAAAGCAAGTGTCTGTCAGACACATAATACTCCGATATGGGTATAAAATAAGTTTCAGACACTTTAGATCGGACATGCACTTAAAAACACATCCAATTTTATTTTATTATTACTTCAAAAAGAGTGAAATGCCTATATTAAACGCTATATTACATAAATACATTATTTTACACTAAAAAATAAAATGAAATATTAAATAATATGAACAGTGTCCATATGTCATTCCATTTGAAATGTTTTTGACACATCCAACGCATGAATCCTGTACCAGACACACTAATCAACCGTCAAAAGTACCCGACTCTAGGTAACATAACTAGAGATAAGCTCGACCTCGAGCCTGTTTGGGATTGTTTTTCAACCACTTAAAAGCGCTTTTATTTTTAAAATCTGCCTTTAGATCTGTTTGGTATTTAATAAACCATTAAAAACACTTTTAATAGTTACCAATTTTAGCTAAGTAGAGCTTTTGAATAAAACTAAAATTTCTAAATTTTAAAACTGCTTTTTGAGTATAGGTTTCATATTTTAGGCAACTGCTTTTCATCAGACAAATTTATACCTTTTATTTTTTTTATAAAGACAACTTCATCCTTCTTTTATAAAGTCATGCTCTGAGAAGCATCCCGCCTAAAAGGACAAAGAATCCATGTGTTACGCCAAAAAACGTGTCTTTTTTTTTTTAATATTCAGATACGACACGGACACGCCATGGATACGTGTCCAACACGCTTATTGCATGCTTGGTGATTTTTATTTTTATTGTTATTTTTTATTTTTATAAGTGCATTATTGGGTATTTTTAGTTCAAAGATTCAAACTCTTGAACAATCAACTTTAGCTCTCTTTTGATCTCCCACTGACCAAGCTTCGTTGCCATTCGCTACTGGTGGATAGTCTCTCTCCTCTTCCTTCTCTTTTCTTTCTTCTTCTTCCACCTCTTTTCTTTCTTCTTCAACCACCCTTAATACTTCTTTTTCTCCTTCCACAACAAAATTCTTTTTGTCTCTCTTTTTCCTCTTGTTTCCATGAACTTTTTCTCTTCTATAGATTCTTGCCTTTATTTTTAACTAACCCTGATTCTTTTTCTAACAAAATCCCAATCCTCTCAATTTCTTTGTTTTGTCTCCTTCTTAACCCTCTTTCTATCTTTCTTTATTAAAAAATAGTGTTTTCCCAGCAAAACACTATTTTTTTCATTTTTAGGTTTATAAATAATAATACTCTTAATTTCTTAAAGTAGAACATCATATATATATATATATATATATATATATATATATAATATATACTCAGTATTTATTATTCGTTGTGTCCACGCCGTATTCATGTATAATGTTTTAGGATTTATAGTGTCCGTGTTATGTCATATCCATGTCCTGTATTCGTTTCTGTGCTTCTTAGGTCCTATTATAAATATAGTAACACTCTATTAAAGGACATTATTGTAAAATTAGTAACAAAAGTGATTTAAATAATACTGTTAATAAACAAATTAAAAAGTATTATATAATGTTTCACCAAACACCTAATATATTTTTTTTTCAAGAACAAATTTATGACCTCTCTGCTGATATAAGCATTTTTTTTATATATTTCTAACAGCAACGCCAATTGAACTCACCAAATTTCACAAATCATAAAAAGCATAACATACGTATTTGTAACAATCTGAAAGCCAAATAAAGATCGGTGATATACTAACACGTTGCGTTTATCCCTGTCGATTATCCAGTTTGGTATGTTCCCAGTAAGTGAATTGTTGCTCAGAAACCTATATCAATATACATTATCATGTCTCACTCATGAGTAAAACAAAAATCATTAAGGTACAGGAACAACAACCGGCTTTAGAATATTAAAAGTTTGTACACACGACTTACTCTAAAATTAATTACTTACATGTAAGTTAGATTCTTCAAATTTCCAAATGACGTTGGAATTTGACCTGTCAACATGTTGAAGCTCAGGTCTCTGTAAGTGAAAAGTTCGTATTAATTAATGAATGAGATAAAATTGCCAATAAAAACTTAAAGATGACTAAAATGTTATCTAATCTGAATAAGGTAAAGTAGCCCCACATTGTTCTCCAACAGAGTTGTTAAAACATAAATCTATAGTCTATAAGCTACTAAAGGTGATAATTGATCACAAAAGATAGTAAATAATTAAATTAGTATCAATTATTTCATAACAAACCTTTGTGATTGCTATCGCACTATGAAGGAAATCATATCAAATGCTATTACGAAATCAAGCAAATTGTTATCAAATTGAAAGTAGACCACAAGATAATATATTCAATTACATGAATGTCTAAAAATGCCCTTATTATCTCAACTGGGATAATTTTATACTGACAACACTGTTTAGATAAATTAGGAGAATCCACAAAGAGAATATACTACTAAACTACCATCTGTTTGGAATTAACGTTAAAAAAGGATTTCCATCTACCCAAATGATACTTTCCTTGGTATTTTATTATGTAAATATTCAAACCTTGTGAAAAGAAAAACAATCAACACGTTAAAATAGCAATTGGTTGCCCAATAAATCAAGCATTAATGTTAATTGAATGGTGTTGAGGAATGATGATAAAGATTCAATGCAATACAAAAGATTGACATCCTATCAATCATTAGAAAGATCAGAAGCTTTCATCTAGCATTTAGGTTAAATCTTGTGTTTTCTTTTTTCCTTTTGAATTTGTAGATTTATATTGTTTGATGTCTTTGGAGATTGTCAAGAAAACTGAAAATTTTGGCGAAAAAAAAAAAGTTCATATAGCTGGGGTGACCAGAATAGTACTTTTGTGACCACTGGTCTTGACCAGCTGGAATAGCCTCTTATCCCTTAAAGGGGAGGAGGAAAGGGATTAGAGCCCCATAGTAGGTATTTGTAGGGGTGTGTGAGTATTTACCTACCCAAAAAAACAAAAAACAAAAAAAAGAACTTAATAATGTTTTAGAATAACCTTACATAGTTTTGAGTTTATGTCTAGAGGTATCAAATCAGCAGCAGTACTCAGAGAGAGAGAGAGACCATGCTTCTATATGGGAGTACATTAGAATAAACTTACATAGTTTTGAGTTTATGAAGTTCACCAATGTAATCGGGGATTGAATCATTTATTAAGCAATTTCTCAATATCCTGTGCCACAAAAAATTAAAAACTTGGTCAGCTGATGGAACCATAAAAATTAATAACATGTTTTATGTTCTCCATGAATTATATCAATATATGACTCACAAATGTTTCAAGTTTTTCATATTCCGCAGATCAGGGAACCTCGAGATTGATCCCTTCAGATCAGATATTCTCCTGAAAATCAAATGCAACAGATCAAATTACTTTGTTTTTATCTGTTCCCATATCTATAAGCATGCATACATCTCTGAACTTATCTTTTAATTGAAACAAAAAATAAAGTAAATTCAATAGCTTTTAGATTGTAAGCTTTGTGCTTACAACTCAGTTAAGTTTTTTAGCAGGGATATGGTAGATGGTAAGGGTCCCTCCAACGATGTTCCTTGCATATCCCTGCAACAGATTGAGTTGAGCATTTATTTGAGATGTCATTAGTTAACAATAAAATTCAAGAAGAAATTAAGAAGAAGAAATTGTTATTTTTGGTTTAATGAAATCTGCTTAGGGAAAAATAAATAAAAAATTAAGAAGAAATTTTGTTAAAAATCTCCAGTTAGGGGAAAGGATTGGCTGATCAGTGAAAAGAAGTATCATACTCACAGTCTGGTAATACTCGTCCAATTCCCAATCCAATCAGGTATCTTCCCGGATAGTTTACTCCCATCTATCCTACTGCAAGGACTAAAAAGTACTAAAATTTCTGAAACTCAAGATGATAAATTTCCAAGCAATTAACACTTACAAATCCGTTAAGTTCTTTAGATTGCTGTATGTATCTGGTAGTGTTCCACTAAAATTGTTAGCAGAAAGAAGGCTGCAGAAAACATTCGTTGTGAATTTGAAACAGCATGAGAAAAATCAGACCAATAGTGGCGAGAATGTTTATTACTACTCCAACTGATTAGTGTCTTACAGTCTTGTCAAGCGGCTCAAATTTCCAAGTTTCCAAGGAAGAGGTCCTCCAATCTGAGTATTTTCCACGATCCTATATAACACAGTTCGAATTAATCCAAGATAAAGCTTTATCGATTACTCCAATAGACATTGAACTGTTGCCCATCACTTACAGCCACTCAAGGGTAGCAATGTCCCCGATTTCATTAGGAATCGAACCACTGATTCGGTTTCCCGAAAGGGACCTGTAGTGTATCAATTATTAAAGTTCAGCCAACCAGTCTAACTGCTCAATAAATATCTAACAACAAATATGGCCCTCAAAGATTTGAAACAAATTAAAAAGAAACTTACAGGTTGGTCAGACGGAGTTGAGCCAAAAACGTAGGTATCGTTCCATTTATGCAGTTGCGAGTGAGATCACTGTGTTGTTAAAAGAAACATCACTTAGTTAATTTCTATCGATTTCAGATGGACACTGGATAATAAAGTGCCAATCTTCCATACTAGTTGGGTTATACCGTATGTTGGAGGGATTAAACTTTGTACTCTATTATAAAATTTACAAAAAGAGATTCCTCCACTACATACTTTGGTATTTCAGCTCAAATCATCATCAAATAAATTTGCAAACGTCCTCAAGTTTATAAAAGTAGGCATGCCTGAATTGTCATCAAAATTGGAGCAACCAGTTGTGCATTATATAGAACTTGATCGTACAACAACACAATAATCACTAAAAAAAAAGGTTCCACTATATCCTTAATTTCAAACTACTACTAAGGATACCAAACAGGCTTGCCTGCAATTAAGAACAACAGATAGCTACTTAAAATTCCTAGGTACATAATAAAAAATAATTAAAAAAAAAAAAGGTGCTTATGGTCTTCATAGTGTAGAAAATCCATTTAAGTAATTTGTGAATAAACCTAACACAACAAGGCTAATGTGTCAGTATGCTGATGGACTCTGAATGTAACTGAGATGTGTCACTTACATGTTTTGCAGGGAACTAAGCTTTGCGAATTCGGCTGGTATTTCTCCTGTTAAATTTTGACCCTTCAACAGGCTGCAATTCAAAACAAAGAAAACTGAAATCAGAGAAAGAACATAGTATCAACAATCACTGGGTTATACCTAGGGATCATTTTAGTCCATAAAATAATTAAAAAGAACCAACAATTAATATGTCGAAGCCCGTCTTGGTTAACCATTACATTTATTCTAGAAAGTGAAACAATGATATGAACATGGTACTTTCTCACCTTCCATAGTAGAAGGCGGATGTGGGATGCCAAACTAAAGTTGAATCCAAGACGAACAGATATTGATTTGCTACAACTTTGAATCATCAATAGCAAATTCTGTCCAATAAAAGTTTGCAGAACATTTAGGTTTACTTAAGTTTGAAGATTCGCACCCCAACTTGCTTGACCTCCGCACATTGGAATATGTTAGGGATTTTCCATGTTTCTTTGGATTTGATTCAATTATGCCTTCTCCACAACCACCACCCTCCGAGTACCACCAACAGAGTGTATTGTTGCTTTGTTTTCCCCTTCGACTTTGCGAATCGAAGAGGAACCAGATGAAGAGAGAACTAGAATTTGATAGAGAGAAGAGAAAAGATTCGATTAATCAGGTGACGAATAGGAATGGTAAAAAAAAAGAGGGAAATCTCTCTAAAACCTCCAATTTTTTTTTTTTTTTTTTTTTTATACACACTTATGCCATCATAGACTTGAATCCCTACTTTCCTTCGAGAAATAAATGCCTCAAACGACTCAAACCTACTTTATCATTTTAGATTATACAGTGACATCATAAATTTTTGGATTAATTTTAAGACTAATGCTATTGCAAGAACGCGCTCTCCCATTCTAGTCGCATGATTTGTGTTCATTGAGATTCGGACAAAAACAAGAGAAAAGTAATTCATGGCACAGTAATTTTCTCTCTCCTCTCTCTTTTTCTCTTGCAATTGCTTTCTCTCTCTTATCTTTTCTCTCTCTTATTCAATCATCTCACCACGAATTATAATCATCCTCATCATCTTCCAAGAAAACCCAATACAAGCAAGAAATAAATAAATAAAAACCATCAAAGCTGTCCTTCGCGGTGGAAAAGGTTTGTCCCGAGGTTTGTCCTCGCCATCGTCTCTCTAAAACAGAAAGATCACTCTCTCTATAAAGAATCTCCTGCAAAACCCCTTTTTTTTTTTTTTTTTTCTTTCTTTCTTTCTTTCTGCCTCCATCTCTAAAGTCAATTTCAGGTTTAAGAAATATGAAGATGGCAAAATTCGATTCAACAAAAACGTACTCAAAAACCATAACCAACAATTGAATCGTCGCCGGGAAATTGCCCGGACGTCAAATCCGGCGAATTTCCTCGGCTGGGATTTTAGTGAGCTTCGCCTCTCCTCCTCCGGTGTCGCCGTCGTTGTATATTTTCGTGCCGGATTGATGGTTTTTCCCACTTTTTTCTTAGGTTATTTCCTTGATGGTTTTATCCCAATTTCACTAGGATACAAATGGTGAAACTTTACAATATAATCAAACGAGAGGGGGTTATCAAAGAGAGAAGAAGTTGTCTGTCTGATTAAAAAAGAAAAAACCAAAGAGGGATTAAAGAGAAAGCACAGATAGATGAGTTACTTTTCTCTTGAATTTGTCCGAATATCAACGCACACAAATCATGTGGCTAGAATGAGGGGTGTTCAAAAATTGGGTAAACCGAAAAATTGGACGGACCGTATTGAGTATTGAATTGTGCGATTTGAACTAGTGTTTTTTTTTTTTTTTGTGCATGTTATACCAATATTAGTTGATTTTTTTAAAACTTTGCCCCTCTGAATTAAAATAAAAACAAAATAAAAAGGAAATAAATTGAAACCAACAAATCCAACCGAACCAAACCGGTTTTTCGTGATTTGGTTTCATGGACATTATGATTCGGTCTAGTTTTAAAAATAGTGGAACCGTAATAAATGGTTTGGTCCCAAAATACTTTCAATTCGATCCAAACCGGACCGTGTGCACCCCTAGCTAGAATGGGAGAGCTCCTTAGTGCTATTGCGTGAGCATTACTCTAATTTTAATGACACCCGAGTTTGGCCAAATCTCATAAAAATACTTTTGGAAAATTACTATTATTCAGACCTCAACTTATTTTCTTGTAATTTTTACTTTTAAAAATATATGAAATGTCATATATATCCTCATTTTTTTAATACATTTTAATTTAAAATATTATAAATTTAAAAAGTCAAAAATACCCCTAATAAATACTCCTTCCGTCTAATAATACATGTCCTACATGGAGAATCAACTTTTTACGGTAGTAGAGTTTTAATAGTTTTTTATTGTATTGATAAGATTGAAGTTTTAAATATGCCCTTACTAAAAAAAAATAGTGCTCCGTAATTAATGCAATTATTTAGTTAAAAAAATAGTTTGAAAATTTTATATAAAATAGTACATTCAATTTTAAAATAGGACATATTTTTTGGGACATTTCAAAATGAAAAGATAGACAAATATCATAGGACAGGGATTATTTATATCTCCAAACCCTCTTCTTCTCTCTCCACCCACCAGCCACCAAAGATATACATGGCTCATTTTACCATATATAAACAAGCCTCGTTTCTCTCTCCATGTGTGTCTAGAACTCTCTCCCTTAAAACAGTTGTTAGGTCAAAATTTTTTGATACCCATATTAGGAAAAAGGAGTGAAATTTGCCTAACCCATCATAGTAGGGAGAGAGAGAGAGTGTATATATATATATATATATTACGTTATAAAGGCGGATTTGAAGAATGGCTCTAAGTATGCCGGAGGCACTTATGATGCATGGAAGTGATAGCTAGCTAGATACTTAACTGGAATTAACTCGTGCACTCATAATAAAAAGATGAATCAATGGCCTAAATAAATGAAAACTATGGTCCCATGCTTTTATCTAATTCTATTTTTTGCTTCAATGAAATACGATACCTTGTTGTGTCATGACTCATGAGTACAGAAGAGCGTGGTATACTCTATTTGTTTTTATTTACTATTTATTTTTTCCTTTGTGTCTTCCTTACATATATATGTGTTAAGATAGCTGTAAATTAGGCTAATTAATTAGAGTTAACTTTCTTTGTAAATCTTTTCCGTAATTGACGGGTTTTCTATAAATTAGCATAATTGATTGTAAAGTTATTTGTTCTCCACACTTATAAATCAGTATCTATACTTCCATTGAGAGAAGAATAAAATCATCAAATATTAAACCCTGAAATTCTTCTTGGTATATTTGAAAAACCCGTCTCAAACTTCCTCAAATTCGAATCGCACTGTAACCCGTAACCCAAAGCCATACTTTGTTGTTGTGATCCCTGTCATCCATGGCCAAGGACAACAACAAATCTAAATTTTCAACCGTTCCTGCACAACCCCAGGTTATACATGTTTAGTCAGAAGGTTCTGGTTTCAATGCCGGAATCACACTTAACGAATCCAACTATGACGTATGGTCCCAGATCATGGAGATGCATATTATGGGACGTGAGACACTTGAGTATATTATTGGCAAAACAACTCAACCCGAAGTTACTGATGCCTCTTATGCAAAGTCGTATGCTAAAGATCAAAAGGTCAAGGGATGGTTGTTAACTGCTATGTCACCGGAAATCATGAAGCACCATCTCCAGTTGCGCACCGCAAGAGAAATCTGAAGTGCTCTCGCCAAAACATTCTATGATAGGTCTGATGAATCACAAATCTTCGCATTGAATCAGTGAGCTTTTTCCACCAAGCAAAATTTTCGGCCTCTGTCAACATATTATGGTAATCTCGTAGAAATTTTCCAGGAATTGGATCATCGTGATAAAAATGTCATGAAAAATCATGATGATGTTACCGCGTATTAGAAATCCGCTGAACGTCTGCGTGTGCACATCTTTTTGGCTGGGTTTGATGTAGAATTTGAACAGATTAGTGGCGAGGTTCTTAGGAAGGATCCGGTGCTAGATTTTGAAGAAACCTATGCTTATGTACGTCGTGATGCAGTTCGAAGGACCACTCTTGGTAAAGAACCCGATCACTCTAAGCCATCAACCATGATTGTGCGCCGACCCAAGCCTTCATAGGGTCGGTCTAGCTCCAACACAAAACCAGACTTGGCATCCAGTCCACCCAACCGTATTGCAGACTCAGACCGGTCATTTGGGTCACAGAATCGCAACCTGGAAACTACAACTGAACGGTCAAACCGCTCATGTTCTCACTGTGGTGCAACCGGACATACTAAGTCACGTTGTTTTGGCTTAATTGGCTAGTATAACAAATTTGAAATCGAATCACCGTGCATCTGCTGTTGTGGCCAAGACCTCTAAGGCTTCTGATATTACTGAAATGGCCTCATCCTTGATTGCTACTTCAGGTAACTCTGGTAAGGCTCTTAATGTTTCTGCTCCTACTAGTAATAGTACTTGGATTATTGATTCTGGTGCTATAGATCACATGACCTTTGACCCTAATCAGATTCAGTCTGTAAAGCGTTCAAAATAATCTATAGTATCAACTGCTAATAGTACTCCCTCTCCCATGATTGGAGAAGGTTCAATCACACTTACTGACAAGTTGAATTTAGATTCTATGATGGTTATTATTTCCCTTAACTGTAACCTGTTGTATGTTGCTCAAATAACCTTTGTTTCACATTGTATTATTATTTTTTAGCCTCACTTTTGTGTTTTTAAGGAAATTCGGACTCGGAAGACAATTGGTTATGGTATTAGGAGGCGAAAGCTCTACTACCTTGATCTGACACCAGCAATATCAAATCAGTTGGCTAAAGAGTTCTCAGTTGATGGGTCAACACACATGTTAAAGAATTCAGATGAAATTTGGTTGAGGCATCAGCGTTTAGGCCATGCTTCTTTTGGATATTTAAAAAACTATTTTCGAAGTTGTTTTCTTAATTTGATGTTTCCAAATTTAAGTGTGATATTTGTGAACTTGGTAAAAGTCACCGTGTGCCTTTTCCACTAAGAATGAATAAGAGTTTAATACCTTTTCTGATGTTTGGGGACCTGCAAAGATTCATTCTTTAAGTGGTGCAGGTTGGTTTATTTCATTTATTGATGATTATACTCATATGATTTGGGTCTCCTTAATGAAATCTAAAAATGAAGTCAGCTCTCTCTTTCAGCAGTTTCACAAAATGGTTGCTTCTCAATACCAATCTCACATACAGGCCTTTCGCAGTGATAATGGTGGAGAGTTTGTTAATCATGCCTTGACACAGTACGTGAATACACATGGTATCGCTCATCAGAGGACTTACCCCAACACTCCCTAACAAAATGGGGTTGCGGAGCGCAAAAATCGTCATCTCCTCGAAGTTGTTCCTGCTTCTTTGTTTGGAGCTCACATGCCCACCTGTTACTAGGGTGAAGTCGTCACTGATGCGGCTTACCTCATCAATCGTATACCTTCCAGTACACTAGAGTTCTAAACACCTCTCCAAACTCTAACTGCGGCAGTGATTGCCCTTGTTGTGCAAAATTTGCAACCTAAGGTATTTGGATACGTGACGTTTATCCATCTTTACAAACCCCTACGGAGTAAGTTGGAACCTCGTGTTCTTAGATGTGTATTTGTTGGCTATGCCTTGTATCAGAAAGGTTATCGGTGTTATCATCCTCCCTCTCAAAAGATCTATGTCACTCTCGATGTCACATTTCATGAGAATGTGATGTATTATTTTGCCCCTGAGTCTCCACTTCAGGGGGAGAGTAGCAATGAAGTGCCGACTCTATATCACTCTTTAGACATCTTGGATTCTGTAAGTGGTAGTAACTTGGATTTGAGTGGTAAACATCCAGATGAGGAGAACAGTCAGAACGATAAGATGGAGCCATTATCATCGTTGCCATCGTCATTGCCGATACCTCCATCACCAGCACCGTCATTGCCGGAAACATAAGTGCCAACTTCCCCCTTGCAATCTGTACCACTAGACCAATTGTTCTCTGAATTTGATTCTACTCTTGAGTCCAAAGTAAGTTCTGAATCCCAGAAAAGAGTGTTACCCAAACGAGTCACAAGAGGAATACCTAGAGTCAATTATGAACCTGATTTTAAGTCCAAAACTAGATATCCCTTGAGTAACTTTGTATCCCATCATAGGCTGTCAAAGGAATGTGAATCTTTTGTGAATCAATAATTTGTTGTATCTATTCCTAATAGTTTGCAGGATGTTTTAAGTGACCCGAGGTGGAAAGAAGCAATGAATAAAGAGATGAAGGCTCTTCAAAAGAACTCAACATGGGAAGTTATTAAATTACCCGAAGGAAAAAAAAACCTATCGAATACAGGTGGGTTTACACTATCAAGCATAAAGCCAATGGAACGGTTGAACGATTCAAAACTAAACTTGTTGTCGAAGGATACACGCAAACTTATGGAATTGACTATATGGAGACATTTGCACCGGTGGCCAAAATTAATATTGTTCATGTCTTATTATCTTTGGCTTTAAACCTTGACTGGCCGTTACATCAGTTTGATATGAAGAATGCGTTTCTTCATGGACATCTCAAAGAAAAAGTGTATATGGAGTTGCCTCCTGGGTGTAACATGTGAACTGAAAAAAGAGGCAGGTGTGTAAACTAAGGAAGTCCCTGTATGGTTTGAAACAATCCCCTAAAGCGTGGTTTGGGAGGTTCACGAATTCTATGAAGGCATTTGGATATAGACAGAGCAACTCGGATCATACTCTCTCCTTGAAGCACAATAATGATAAAATCACGGCTCTTATTGTGTATGTTAATGATATAGTAGTGACTGGGAATGACCCAGAAGAAAAGAAAGCATTGCAAAAATACTTGGCCCACGAGTTTAAAATGAAGGATCTTGTCCCGTTGAAGTATTTCCTCGGGATTGAAGTTTCCAGGTCGAAGAAAGGTATTTTTCTATCTCAAAGGAAATATGCCTTAGATGTTTTAAGTGAAGCCGATTAACACTCCAATGGAAGCAAATAACATATTGGGTATCCATCCGAATCAGGTCCCTGCCAACAAGGAATGCTATCAGAGGTTAGTAGGGAAATTGATGTATCTTGCACATACTATGCCAGACTTGGCTTATGCGCTGAGTGTTGTCAGTCAGTTTATGCATTCTCCAAGTGAAGACCATATGAATGCGGTAATTCGTATATTACGGTATTTGAAATCGTTTCCTGGAAAAGGAATAATGTTTACAAAAGGGGATAATTTGAATATTGAAGGGTACACTGACGCTGATTGGGCTAGGTCAATCGATGATAGGCGCTCTACTTCTGGTTATTTCAGTTTTGTAGGAGGGAATCTGGTTATTTGGTGAAGTAAAAAACAAAAAGTGGTAGCCAAATCCAGTGCTGAGGCCGAATATAGGGGAATGGCTAAGGGAATATGTGAGTTACTATGGATAAGGAATTTAATGCAAGACTTAGGTTTTGAACCACTGAGTCCAATGAAGTTATATTGTGATAACAAGGCAGTATGTGACATTACACATAATCCAGTCGAACATGATCGGAGTAAACATGTTGAGGTGGATAGGCATTTTATAAAGGAAAAATTGGAAGCAAAGCTTATAGAGGTTCCTTACGTGTAGTCTGAAGATCAGCTGGCAGACGTACTCACCAAGGCGGTGTCAAGTCAAGCGTTTCACAGCTCTTTTGTCAAGTTGGGCATGAATGATATCCATGCACCAACTTGAGGGGGAGTGTTAAGATAGCTATAAATTAGGCTAATTAATTAAAGTTGACTTTCTTTGTAAATCTTTTATGTAATTGATAGGTTTCCTATAAAATTAGCATAATTGATTGTAAGGTTACTTGTTCTCCACACTTACAAATTAGTATATATACCTCCATTGAGAGAAGAATAAAATCATCAAATATTAAACTCTGAAATTCTTCTATATGTATATATACTATGACCCATTAAAATACTAATAGTTGTTAAAAAAAAAAAATTTTTTTAATAGTAACAGAACAATTGATTTTGCAGTGTGGTGGTACATTCTGATAAATATACATATACATGACCCTCCACCTTTATTTCCTTCCACTACATCAGATCAAAATCTATTATAAGGGAAAGTAAAGGGAGAAAACACACATATATATATACATATAGAGAAAGAGAGAAAATGTCAGTCCATTCAAACGGCATGTGGTTAAAAGATGGAGGTTCCGGGTGTGGATGGGGAGACGAAGTCTTTTTCAGGTTGGGTTAGTTGACCCAATTCACGTCAAAGTGATAGAAATCGCAAAGACTGCTGTAATAACAAAGGTAATGAGAGGAGGAGGAGAGTGGGTAGAATTGTCTTTTTAAACATCAAACAGTTCTTCAGTGAGTCAACACAGATTCAAAAGGGGTAATAATATCTTTTTATATGTAAAAAATCTCTAATCCCATTAAAAGGAAAAGTTTGGGATGTGGGTAAAAAATGGACCAAACATTTATAATGTAAGTGATAATAATTTCAAAAGATGTCTCCATGTAAGAGATTTGGCCAAAACTCATGGAGTGTCAATGAGTTTAACCTTAATTTTTTATAAAATAAAATGGGTAAAATATATATTTTTTAAGATGTAGATAGATATAATACAAATAAATAATAATTATTTGTATTATATATTATTATTAACTTTATATATATATAAAATATTACTCCATAGGATTACCTAATTAATGAGCTATATCATGGATAAATTTCAAGTTAAATCAAGATATATATATATATATATATATATATATATATATATATATATATATATTTGTAAAAAAAATAAATAATAAATTAAAAAAATTATATTTTTTATGTTGTTAAAAAAGTTACATTTAAAAAATATATATATTTATTGAACAGAGTAGTTCAAAGTATGGGTATCAACCCAAGTTCAAGGATTTGTAAAAAAAAAAAAAAAATTTGCCTTACATATCTGTGATGTGGCAGATGGTGTTGTTGCACTTGCAAGAAATATTGATAAGAATCATATCCTCCTCCACCACTTTCGAAAAATTACCCTTACTGCAAAAAGTTCGGTTAATACTGTTCAAGTGTTTTATGTGCAGTTTCCTTGATATATCTTCAAGAGCTTGAACTGTTGCAGAAAGCGATGAAAACTGGTTAGCATCAAAAAGAAAGAAAAAAATGATTAAAGAAAAGAAAATATTGGTTGCAATTTACAAACATATCCATTAGTCGAAGTCTATATGGAAGCAAAACAGAGATTAACAACAGAGGAAGCAAGTATAATTAAGCACACAAATAGGTTAACCTTTTTATAGTTGGGAATAGAATTTGTACCTTCTTCTAGTGGTAGTAGTTGAGCGGCGGATGTAAATTCAGTAAAACAGTTTAAAAACAGAGATAGAAAGAGAAGAGAAGTGCAAATCTTCCTGAAATTGGTCCTACTATTGAAGAGAGACTCCATCTGCTCTGCAACTCCAATACCTTCCATTTGGAAACAAACGGAATCGTTGTATATAAAGACAACCGGGCAGAACCGCGCTACATACACAGTACACACTATGTGTGTGTAGACTGTAGGGAGGGTAAATTTGAAAAAAGACAGATTACCAAAATGGGTATGCCATATAACAAATTGGGTAAATTGCAATGATATCCCTGAAGTTTCGGTCAACGTCACTCAGTGAATGGTCAACAGTTTTGTTTACATTGACACCCCTTCCAATTTTTGAAATCCCCAAAATGATAGTAAGAGTGGTCTCAAATGAGAGCTCTTGAAGAGTAGAGCAAATTTGTCTTCTTAGTCTAAGCTTGAATCCCACCTTAACTAGCTCAAATATTGAGTTAAAGTATGTAGATATATGTATATTTGTAATTGTAGAAAGTGAAGGGCCGAAAATGAGAAGTAAGAGGGGGTTTGACAAGTCTTCAAAATGAACTCTTAAACCTCCATGTGCCAAGTGTCACCCTTTGGTGGTAGCTTTTTTACAAAGTTACACCTTTGCCCTCTTCCTTCCCAAGTAATGCCATCCAAGTCCCTAAAATATCTCCTCTAACCCATACTTACATATATATGTATATGTGTGCATAATATCTATAATGCCCTCTATTATAAATGGCAATCTCATCACTTCTAAATGACTTAAAATAAATAAAAATACTTTTCTTAAAACTCTCGGATCAAAAAAATGATCCCTCGGGCCCGTGTGGTACGCAAAACTAGGTATGAAAAATAAATAAAATAAAATTTCAAAAATATGCAGAAAAATCCGGGACATTACAAATGCAATCTCAATCCAATTCCAATTTTAATTCGGTGTAACCAAACATAGTCTTAATGTAATTTATGTTATGTTGTGGTAACAATTTTTTTTTAATATTATTTATTTATTATTTTTTAAGGAGATCTAAAAAAAAAAATAAAAAAAAAAAAAAACTCAAAATAAGTTCTCTTTTTTTTCTTTTCTTCTTTTTTTGCATATAAATTGTTTATTATTGAAAAAAAATTCATATAATTAATGATGTTTAAAGGACCTAACTTAGGGTTCGATATAATGTCAATAATTTATTACTAGTATATTACACGTGGCAATCCTTCCAATCTATATTCATATTTTTTTCTTTTCTCTTAAAAATTGTTTGTCTTATCAAAAAAATAAAAAAAATTATTGACTATACCATTCAATAGAGAATGTAAGTACCACGCCTATAAATTCCGAAATATTATTTACTTTTTCATGAAATCTTTTATAAGGCAAAACTTTGTTTTCATGCATGCACGGCTGTGGAAAATTTCAAAAAGAAAGCATTCCTGATTGGAGAGAGAATAGTGGTCCATACATACAGGCTGTGGGGTCCCGGTTTTCGTCAAATATTGAAGTTGTCGAAGTCTTCGGTCCTTCTAGCATTATCTTTTTTAAAAACTTTAAAGGCAAAACTTTGTTTTCATGCATGCGGGCTGTGGAATATTTCAAAAAAGTAAAAGCATTTGGAGAAGAGAGTAGTGGTCCATACCGGCTGTAGGTGTCTATATCCAGTCATTTATTATTATGCACGTAATATATGTAATGACAGGCTAAGTGCACCCGTTGTATTGTATAACTGCCCCAATTAAATTAATTGTTTTTGGTAAATTAAAAACCTCTGTACCAATCGTGAAATAACTTTATTAGAAATTGGATAAAGTGCATTAAACCCTTCTGAATTTTTTTCTCTTTTCCACAAAATCCCCCTAATCTATCACAAATACACTTAACCCCCTGAACAATTCAGTTCGTTGCAAAATGTTTAACTCCGTTAGAAATCAAACAAAAATTGAGGCATGTGGGTCACGTGATAGGGCAAAAAAATTTTAAAAGACAAATTTGACCTTATAGCATTCTCACCTTACACCGCCGGAAGCCACCACCATTCCCACCATACAACTGCCGTGGCACCACCACACCACACCACACCACACCACACCGACGTCGCCACCACTATCCCCAAACCCACAATCAGTAGTAGAAATCAACGGAAGAGATAAACACCGGGCCTTCACCGCGCTACCATCCGTAACTGCCACCACCCCCACTATCCCCAAACCCACAATCGGAAACAGAAATCGATGAAGAGAGAAAATGGAGGCATCGCCGCTGCCGCCTATTACTCCACCATCAAAACCCTCTTCCTCCACCGATCCCCTTCTCTCCAAGGATCGCGACTGTAATACCCCTAATTTTAAAAATGATATTCCTGGTATTTAATGTTATTTAATTTATTATTTAAGTGCATTTTATTTGATTATGTGTCATTATTATTTTTATTAGGTACTTAATTGTTTTCTTTTGTGGTAATTTAATTTATTTAAATGATATTTATTTTTAGTTATTTGATTGGAATTACTTGTTAGTATTTTAATTATTTAATTGGCATTAATGGTTTAAGTGTAATTGGTTTAGTTATTTGATTGGAATTACTTGTTAGTATTTTAATTATTTAATTGGCATTAATGGTTTAAGTGTAATTGGTTTAATTATTCTATGTGTGTCTTATTTGGTTTAATTGGGTTTACTAATTATTATTTTGTTCAATTAGATTATTTGTTAAGTATTTAATGGTGAATAAGGTAATTAGGTAAATACATCTAACTAGGGTTTTAATTACAGTATAAATTAGGGTTTTATATTATAACCGTCGTAGGTTTCTACGTTAATTGGATGGGTCGGTTAGGATTGTGAGTTGGACTTAAATGAACCTAGAGTTTAGGAAAACTCTATAAGTATAAGGTAGACGTCTGTGTAGGGTTTTTTTTTAAACAAAGCACACGTTTTGTGGAAGTGGAGAAGGAAAAACGTAGTTTTTCACATTCTGCCAATGTTTGATCAAAGCTCCGATCCCGCTTCGTCCGTGGTCCGATCGAGCTGAATTTTGGAGGAGAGGTTCACGACTCAGTGACGCACAATCTGAACAGTGGAGATCAGAGTTTGACCTGGGGAACAGTGATTCGTACTCGTGAACAGTAACTGGGTCGCACAGGTTTTTTTCCATTCTGCCCAGATTTCATCAAACAACCGATCCTGCTTCGTCCGTGGTCCGATCGAGCTGAATTTTGGAGGAGAGGTTCATGACTCAGTGACGCAAAATCTGAACGGTGGAGATAAGAGTTTGACCTGGGAACAGTGATTCGTACTCGTGAACAGTAACTGGATCGCACAGGTTTTTTTTTCCATTCTGCCCAGATTTCATCAAACATCCGATCCCGCTTCGTCCGTGGTTCGATCGAGCTGAAATTTGGAGGATAGGTTCATGACTCAGTGTCGCACAATCTGAATGGTGGAGATCAGATTTTGAGTTTGGGAATAGTGTTTCGTACCCATGAACAGTAACCGGGTTTTGGAACTCGCCGGGATTTTTTAAGAAAACGACGTTGAAACTTTGAACAAAAGTTTCTGAGGCAAGATTCTATCCTTACTCTTTCCCTTAGGCTTCATATTCTTTGCACTCTTAAATGATTCCAGGATTAATGAAGATTAAACCAAACTAAAATGATATCTGTTTTGCTATGAAACTGGTAGTTACAGTAGTGTTGTATGCTTGTTCAACCTAGACTAAGCATGTTTGTGGATGCATTGTGGTTATGTGGTTCACGTTTTTCTTTACCACTGCTAGTATAAATTATTGGAAGGATGGGTCTAGATGATAGCTATCTTAACTTCTGTAATAGCAACTGTTGGAACTTAAATACTAAGAGGATTTGAGTTTAACACTAGATCGATTTTGTGGAACACTATAATTTGAGCATGTCTACATACATACTGTGAATATTGTTTTGATGCTTACATTATCATAGTTAGTATCAACTGTGGAGGTTAGGATTTTGTGATACATACCCTACATATCTGTATATCATTTGTAAGGTGTTAAATGGAAGTTTTAATTAATTCTGTCTTTATATCAGACTAAAGGGAACAACTTAAATTGGGCATGTATATGTTGTTGTTGTGACCCTGTTTATCAATGCTTATTTTATCACTGCTAACATTGAATGTTGGATGTTGGAATTTAGTTGATATATACTTGATTTATTGGTATTATTGACTACTGGAGGATTGAAAAGTAAGCACCGGTATGGGACGGTGGCATACTAAAGATGGGTTTGGTTTTTAAATCAATACCATTACCCACTTACTTGGAATAAGAATGGGATTAACTAAAAGTTAAGTCCCGTGGATTTGTATTGTCATGGCAACTACTTGTTGAGCGGCAATACCAGGGATTTTGGATGGATTTTATATATGTACTGTTATGGTGCCTCGGTATGAGCTTGAGCCTCAGGACCGATGGCTAGGGAGCGTATATGCATCGGGATGTATAGCTGGCTACGATGGTTGGAGGTGTACTCTGTTTAGGTATAGGTACATATGCCCACTTCGTGTGCGTTTTAGCATGTTACCTCTATTCAGGTTGAGACCGGCCTATAGTCCAGTGAGAGTCCTTTAGTGTGACTATATATATATTTACGGACTATTAGCTATTGTTGAATTGTTTTGGATGTACATGCGTATCGGGCCTCTGTTTGGATTGTAGTAGTATAAAACTTGCGCGTGGGCCTGACCCACTTCTATTTTTCAGGTACACGACAGTTCCAGGCTTAGACGTATTCGTGCTGAGTAGAGGTCTCTATTCACTCTTCCGACGATGTAGGGCTCTCTCTATAGTTTTATTTCTGGACGTTTATTACATTTGTTCTATCTTCAGTTTGGATGTTTAATAGGGGTCCACTAGAGATGGATTCCCAAGTTGTAAACTGATGGAGTTTTGGAGCTTGGGTTTGATGGATTTTAATAATTATAGTATTTTGCGGATTCTATTTTGTATTCCTTCCAGTTTTAATTTCATTTCTTAATTTATTTTGTATTCCGTGTTCATTATAAAATATTAATTGTTTGATATTCCCTCGGGTTTGGGCCTGGGCCTGATCAACCCGTGTCTCGAATCCGAGGGGTATCTCAGTTGGTATCAGAG